AAAAAATAGATGGAGTGGAAATGGCAAGCAAATGTTTTGGAAATTAGGTACGTATTTGATCTATAGAAATATTTAATACCACCCTGTAATTTTTTTTATTAGCCCAATAAGTACTAAAAATGTGCTGTATATAGCCCAGCTAATGTCCTGAGGACATCAACAGTAAAGCCTACGTTGTCCTCATTTGATCCACTGTTAACCTGATAATAGCCCGGCTGATGTCTTGAGGACATACACAGTAAATCCTAGGACGTCCTCATTTGATCACTGATAACCTGATAATCTCCTGCAGATAGCCAGGCGGATGTCCTCAAGACGTTACGAGCAAATCCCGGGACGTTCCATTTGGATATCCCTGGTACATCCTGAGGTGATTGTGTACCTATCCGAGGATATCCTATACATCCTGAGAAGTTATCCTCAGTACATCCTACGAATGTCATTGTGCTGTGTGGGATATAGTATACAATGGTCTTATAATGGTATATAGAATTCTAATAAAGAATAAAACGCATTTCTTTCAGTGTGATTATTTGGCTTTTAAACAAAGGATTTTGTGTTATTCCTGGGTTTGTCAAAAATCAAACATGAAAATTATAAGTAATTTTCTAATAAGTAACTAATATAGACTCAGAAATTTTTCTTTTGAATACATTTCCCTGTTTGTAATATTTCTGGAAGAAATTACGCCAGAGAGGAAATATTCCCAGTTTTCCAATTTCCCGCCGATTGATAAACCAAAATAATGGCTAATAGACAATGGAGTATGTCTTGAGTTTTATTATTAAAAAAAAAAACCATTAAATTATATGCAATTATTTAATATTATTTCCTTGATTTATCTTGATTCTAAAGATTTTTAAAAATTTTGGTACCTATTTCAGAAGCACGATGTAGAACAATATAAATCTATTACTTAGATCAGCTTATTTTCGAAAATACTACATTGCGCTAACAAATACTGATTTATTTCAATGGTGTTTTAGTATCTTATCTATCTAGTATCTTATATCTTAAAATACAATAAATTTTTGAAATTTTCTGAAATATCAAATGTCGAAATATTTTTTGAAATGTGAATTTTCCCATTCCTAATTTAAGATGATGCATGCGCTAAAAATTGTTCACTAATGAAGGTTGTGTTTTTATTAATTAAATTATTACTTTTGACACCATCTACAGTCTACGCTTCTGCCTTATACATTTATTTTTAAAGGTTTCAAATTCAAAGTATGTACTTAGGGCTGCTTCCTTTGACGAGTTTTATTATTCAAAATTATTCAATAAGGTACCTTTATGAGGCTTTAAATTAAAATAGACCTGTCATTCATAGGATGGGTTGATGGGTATCTGCTATAAAACATCGATAGTTTTTTTCATATGTAATTATAAAGATTATCCTGCGTCACATATAACTAAAAACCGATAGTTTTATGTAGTATTGGGACATGTTTCGCATCCACTGCTCCCATCTACTAAAATTTATAACAAACTTTTCGAGAACGTATCCAAGAAAAATAAATAACCCAAACACAGTTATAAATACTGCAATGATTGTAAACAAAGTGGAATATTAATGAGATTGTTTTCTATCCTACTTATGGATAATATCAGAAGAGAATAATTACTACATTGCAATACACATCGCGCTAATATTTACGGCGTTTTTATGCTTTTTTTAATTCCTCGAACAAAAGTTTAAATCGGCAGTCCGAAAGGCCGCGTAAGTTTTGTTTAAAACATTCGAAATTTTATGCGAGGATTAAAAAGAAACGAGATATGCCAAACTCACCAGTAACTAGTAAAAGGTAGTTCGTTTTAAGGTGTGATTACTACGTGCCAGGAGACAGTCCTTAGTTTGTTACGGCCGAATATATTCCAAACTACACAGACCACTTAGAACATACCTGAGAAACTGCAGCACTATCGTGCTTCTTTAGAGAAACCCGTTTTGCTACTGACTGAGAGCAATAATGCGGCCCCACCGATCCACACTGATTGTCGCGGCAAGTTTGAAGACAGAAAAATCAGACTCCTTACCCGCTTGCACCTCTTGCGGTTAAGTGATTCTTAGGAATAGAAAGGCTTTATTGGATCTGAAATAACGAGAAAAGTCTTCGGCCAAAAGTACAAGAGTTTTATTGCATATATGTACATACATATATATATTTTATTTTTTTCTAACTTGTATGTTATCACTTAATAGTTTAATATTATTCTATTCCCATTTAAAAGATACTAAAATTACCCACAAAGAAGTGTAATGCAGGCCTTAGATTAATTTACAATATTTTTCTAAATATGTAAGAAATGTCTTATCTACATCAATTGGCTGTGGGATTGAATGTGTTCTCTTCGATTGATTCTTAAAATTATTGTAGGTACTTTCGAATACCTAAGTATCTGGTCACAATGGGAAGTTTTACTATTGACGTGAATTTTTTGCAATAAAAACGTCACACAGGGTCACTCATAACGAAGATGACTAATGAATACTTTCGCAGATAAAATCAACCATTTATCCCCATCATTCATATAAACAGTTTTTCTTATATGTTCATTGATGATCGGTTGAATATTTATCTATATAGAGGTAAAAGATCATCAATTTAATTTAGATAATAAATTTATTAAGAGTTCTAGTAGGACTGAAATAAGCTATGTAATATAAAATTTATTATTTATTTCGTCATGTTTCACAACAGCTTCAATAGATTTTTAAAAATAATACTTTTCACTCATCTAAACATTTTTCAGGTAAAACAACTGAAAACAACTGAACTTTTTCGGGTAAACCGTACCTACTGAGCTCTTTAGAAAAAAAAAACGTATAAGTGTTATTATCTTTATATTTATTGTTATATTTTACCTACCAATTTATTTATAAAATATCAACAACAACAATTAACTTTACGTGAAACTTACACATAGAAACCCATACAAGTTTTTAAACTTACGATTTCAATAAGTAAATATGAAATAAAGGTTCCATGCCATTTTTTTGAATGTATAATAAAATTGACTTCAGTTCCGCGATACAACTTGTACTTACCTAAGCATGATAGTATAGCTTTATAATTGTATTGAATTAAAATATAATTCATTATTATTAATATTTTGTTTACTGTTAAAAATTCTGAATTATTCAAGGGGAAAATTATATGAGATAGGTATATCGTGAAAGTTATGCACGCGCAACATATGATTTTTCTTTCTCTACTATTGAATTTCTGCTATTTGAAAATTAATTCATTTTGTTTGTTTCATTATAGGAAATGTTTAATTTGTTGTTATTAAGCTAGGGAAATAGATAATAACAAATACAAGGAACAGAGGAGTATACTTTACTCTTAATAAAAGTACCAAGTGCAAATAAAATTTAGCTAATTTAAAAATTAAATATAATAAAAGCCGGTAAAAGGCCATATATCAGTCGCAGTATGTTTAGGTGGGCTCATTTTTTTTATTTGCTTAACGGAAAGATATTGCAATTTTAAGGTTCTCTGCAAAAAATTAGAATTTTATATCGCCTACAAGTCATCCAAAAAAAAATCATAAACTGGCGCGCTGACGTCACCGCATGGGAAACCGCTGCCGCATGCTTGCGTGTGTTGTTACTGTTGTTACTCTGTCGACTAGGCGGGTTTCGGGTTTTAGTTGTCTGTTAAGCTTCGATTGAGTACCGGATTTTGTTAGCAATATGGAAGACACAGAACAGAAAAAAATACAAATATTGTATTGTTTCCTTCTATTATTAGTCTCCACTCTCATTTATTTTTTTTAATATATTTTATTTGAAAAAAGTTTGAAAGCAACAAAACTACCTTGCGTAATTTAGGTACCTAAGTAATAACTACGTTTGTATCCTTTAGAAACACTAAACTTGTGTTAGTGTGTTAGTGTTTTTTTCATTGTTGATTTTTTGTAAATATTATACAAATAGGTAGGTAAATATACAAATACAAATAGGTAGGTAAAATAGGTACTAAATATTTAAATAAAAATACATAATAAATAATATATATTATTAATATATTTATAAGATATTAGGTAGATTTATGTAGTTTCCATGGAAATTAAAATGGTACCTAATAAGAATTTATTTTGCATTTGATTAGGTAAATCTTTAAAACCTGTGACAGAAACGGTTTCGTCCAATATTAAACGCAAAATCTTTATTCTCATTTTTAAGTACTATTCTTATTATACAAAAACATCAAAACCTTCGCTACAAACGTACTTTATAGAAGCATTACATGTTATTGAAACCTTTTACCTTTGTATTTTCACTCGTCTCAACTCATAAAGTCGTGGTTTTTCATTTAAAAAATCCATAACCATTACAAACCTACTTCTGGCAAATTAGAAGAATCTACTTTTACGAAATTTGCTTCCATTTTTTAAATTTAATGTACACAAACGCTAAAACATCTATATGGTAGATACTGCAAGGGTTCTATAATTTCCAGATACGGATGTCTCACCTGGATGTAGCATACGCCACGCGCCAAGCCGACTGACCGTCCCATGCGGTGACGTCATTGCATTGCCACGGCTGCGCAAATATTCGCATTTTAAAAATCATATAGTTTGAAAACCGCTCAACGGATTGAGTTGAAATTTTCAGGATCGCCTAATCATGAACAATACTTTGTTAATAAGAACGTTTTTGAAAATTTACTGAATGACCCCATTTAGTCAAGTCAGTGAGATTAAAGTCAAATTTCAAAGAACACACATATCTTGTCTATGTTTCATGACTCTTCGGCAAGTAAAAATATGTTTTCTTTGAAATTAGGTGTTATCCTCACAATATTTCCTACTGACTGTTGCACCAGTAACATTATTTATTTTATTATACTTTCAATATAGTCCGGACGATATTTGTGAAGATAGAATTCCTAAAAAAGAATAAGCCAATAAAATTCTGTTATCGGAACTACTGTAACAATTTACCGCCGCGCGCCGCAGGGACGTGCCTTGAAATTTTCCGCCAATGTCTTTCTACCTCAGGTGTCGATTACCGCGTCAGAGGCGTACCTTGAAATTATCCGCCAATGTCTTTATAGAAATTGACGCAGGGGTCTTTTTGGAATTCTATCTTAACAAATATCGTATGGACTATAGATGCGATTGGGAAAGATCTGAGTATACACCTTTTCCTGATTTCAGTCTAATAATGAAATTAATTTTAATGTTTGTTAGTATAATTTTCGAAGTCTATCTTGATGTTTTTTTTTAAACTATGGACAAATTCCGAATTATTTAATTATTTTTGTTGCTTTCTCAAATATTCGAAAATAAAAATGGTTTAACTGAAATGAAAAAAAAATTCTCAGTTGAAATTAAAAAACATCTGAATCTGAAAAACTCGCCATCGATTCTGAAATAAATTAACCAATCTGAAATATAATTAATGCTTTCTGAAGTAGGTAGATAACTAATTAGATTATTAATTTTCGATTATATCAAAATAAGAATAAACATACATTAGCAAACAAGAAGGTTTGTAATTAAATTTGCAATTAATAGACCCTTAATGTCTAGGTTTATGTATTATTATTTACAACTTTATTTCACATAGTATAAAAACTAATTGTTTTGTTTCATATCGTATATTCTGTAGCGATATTGTCTTGGAATAGAAACAACAAACATGATTGGGATGATTTTAGATGCTTCGATCATATTTACTTCCTCTATATTCTCTTTTTTTACTACCTTAACTTTTTTATTTTATACCATTATTTACGTAATATGATATAATTTGCAATTTCGGCCTTCAGAGTTAAAAATAGGTACTTGTTTGAAGCAGTTAATTTTTTAGGAACGATGTAGGTGGTCGCCGGCAAGTCTGAAACGTATACATTCCAGACATTTTACAGGCCGAACGTGTAGCAGGAGGTACAGTGTCCTTAATGTGCTTATATACCTGTTACCTGTTTTACCTGCGCATCCGACGTAATTGTCTTTTCGGATGACTTTATCATAGACCCCTCGAACAACGTTCGTTATCGTCCCGTTTTAAGTAAATGATGGCTTTCCGGTGGGCAGGAATGTTGCTTACATTTAAATAAAATAAAATTTAGAGTACATTATTGTCATGCTAAAAAACGTGTAGTCTTAATTTCAGCGTTGATTATGACGACAATCGACTATACAGGGAGCCAAAAAGAATACATAATATTTGAAAGGTATCAAAAAGTTACCGGCCTTTGGAATTTCTTAAAAAAGTGACGGAGTTATTATTTAAAAATGAAGTCAAAAAAATATGTGACTGTTGCTGTTGTGAACAGTAATTTTAATTTATTACAAATTAATCCTTTCTTAATGAAGCTGTATTACTACTATTTCACACATCCAAAGTATTTTTCGTAATTGTCGTCCTCTTTATGATCTAATACTGTACAGTAGTCCATCCATAATTTAAATTCAATGATTCTATTAACTGGAATGTGATAGCTCTCGTAATCGTTTCTTGGTTCAAAATCAAATTTCTATAACTTCTGAAAACCGATAAGAACCCTTTGAACCGAAAAAGCTGGTCAGAACCGGACCCAAATATCAACTAGTGGACCGCGCGTAATCGAACCGAAACCGAAACAGTACAATTCTAACCGAACCGTAACCAGACCGGTACTGTTATTACATTAAGGTCCGGGTCCTTGCTCCTTATTATTAGGCATCGGAAACTGTGGCGACTATCAAATAAATAAATAGTTGTTATCTATATTATGCTAGTAAGTGTTGTAGTAGCAGCTTTATGCTCACGATACACCATGCTACTGACTGACAAAAAAAACATGTGCCATACACTCGATCAGGCAAAGCGTCAATCTCACTCACACATGCACAAACGACAATGAAATGCCTGGAATGTTCGTCGGCACGCCAGGCCGACAGGGCAGGCATTAGGGTGCGGTTAGATACGTATCGAATAAATTGATCGATGCGAAGCTCCAGATCAGAGCAGTTCAGACATATATCTACATGTTATTGTATACAATGTCGCGGATGGTAGGATAACTAAATGTGAAGTAGTTCATGCTTCGCTATCATTAGAAAAACAGCATCTAAGTATATTAAAAACTTCGACTATTTTATATAGTGACCTCGGTAAATGTTGAACGGTCATTTTCGTTTTTGAAATGGGTATTTATAGATCGCTGGAGACGATTAACCGCTGAACACTTAGGACAAGTGTTAATTATTTTCTAAAATCGCTTTCCTTACGAGTTACAAATTATAATTTTCTTAACTGTTGCTGGTACTTATTGTTACGTACGATACCTATATATTTTATAGTAAGTTCCACGTGAAGCGTTTATTGTTGAAAAATAGATACTACCTCTTTTTGTTTCATACTATTATGCAAATACTTATATTCTTATATAATGTTAAGAGTGCAATAATTATAAGAAGGCAACGGTTGTGTCACTTTCTGTTTGAATATAATTACATGAAAGAGAACCCGGCCTACAGCCAACCCTGTCTACATTGTAACTGCCGCCGCCCTATACTTCGATCTCTATTTATTATCCAAGAAATTACTTAGGGAATCACTGAAATAGATGAATATTTTAAAGTTCAAACAGATAAGGAACATATAATAAATACATGTGCAAAATCATTAAACTACAAATATGCCATAAAAATCTGAAAATATATAATATAGCGAGCCTATAAAAGCATATTTATAAACCCACCTACTTATTCCTACCATTATCTCACCCACCATTATCATTTACCATCTTATCATTAATTCTACGTAATCCCTTTTAGGAAATGTAATTTATAATTATATTAATAACAATAATAAAGGTTTCATTTGCAAGACTATAATATACTATAATTTAACAAATGATTAATATAATAAGTTACATGTAACTGTTACATATTAACTCATGCAGCTTGGCCCACTAATATTGAGGGCAAGACTGAATTTTTTTTGGAACACATGATTCGAGTGATTTTGATCCTTAAGTAGTCAGCGGGCTTTGGATGTAATTACTAAACCAATCATGATGATCCAGTCGCCAATTCATGGCCTGGTGCGATTTTTCTGGCTACGTACAAAAGCTTATGACTTAGACCACCAAGAGAAAATATTCTGTTTCTATTCCAGTAAAAACTAACTTCACGCAGAAAGTCGCAAAATTACCTACCTTATAATAAACACCTTCTCATAGACCGATAAACGGAAAACTAAAATAAATCTTAAACACATGTTTGACACAAAGTGAACTTGCATTCTGATTGTATATAAACAATGATCAAGTACGTGGCGACGAAACGGATCGAATCGTCCAGTAACCGTCAAACATGTGCTTTCATACAGAGAACGGTACTCCACAATGTACAATAGTTTTCATTTCGTGCGTATCAATCGCGGTTTAATTTTGTTGCTGTTGTATATTGTTTTGAATTAATTTGAGAGGGTTCTATAGCAAATAGGCAACCAGGCATACGTTTTCTATCAAGTTTGAAACTCAAATTACTTTTTGTTGTAAATAAATTTGTAATTTGCCGCTTTTGAACAAACTGTATCGTAAATTACAAATCTCTTTACACCAAAGAGTTATGTGAGTTTCAAACCTAGTCCATTTTGTACAAAGTCTGGGTTAAAATGGGGGAAAGTCTGTTAATTTATATTTAGACAAATTGTGTAATAAAATCTATAAAAACGTATTGCTGGTTGACTATTTGCTATAGAGATGTCTAGCACTGGTTCAGCTGATGAAATGTTTGAATAAGAAACAAATGAAGTTGTTTTATTTAGAATTTTAGAACTTGTTAATACTACCTATTTTAACTTTCCTAAATATGTCCTTATGCACTTTATGGACAGACCATAGTTGCGTACAGTTGTTTGATTTGCTTGAATAAGTAGTTAATATAGTATATTTCACCTAAGTCAATGTTAGAGGTCATTGAAACAAAAAAAAAAGAACGATTTATAACTTGATTATGTTAATTAATTTTTAAAAGAATAATAATTTCAGATAATATTCTGGGGAACACACCTTATTACTCTTTAAAAAAAACCTAACCTCCCCACTCTTTCGTTAAAGTAACACCTAATAATTTCATAAGAGGAGACACCCTGCATAAGATTGGTCCAATTAGGAGGGCTCTATACCAAATAGGCAACCAGTAATACATTTTTATAAATTTTATTACACAGATTGTCTAAATATGAATTAATGCACAAATAACAAGACTTTCCTCCATTTTAATGCAGATTTGCTATAAAATGGATTTAGTTTGAAAATCAAATTCCTTTTTGGTGTAAAGAAATTTGTAATTTACGATAAAAATTTCAAATTTCTTTACAACAAAAAGTAATTTGATTTTCAAACTAAGTCCATTTTATAGAAAATCTGCATTAAAATGGGGGAAAGTCCGTTATTTGTGCATTAATTCATATTTAGAAAAACTGTGCAATAAAATCTATAAAAATGTATTGCTGGTTGCCTATTTGCTATAGAGCCCTAATAAAGCAAATGTTTCTATATTTGAACAAAAGCAGAATTGTTTAACAATAATTACTCTTTTTTGTGGACACACTGTATTTCTTTTATTTTTAAAATCTATGTAAAACTTTATTTCGAATCATACACAGACATAAATGGTGTAAATATCCCTTTTCGGAATTTAGTTGTCTTCTGCTATTTTCAAGAAAAACGCTGTTCCTAAGGTATTTCGATCACCCTGTATACCAAGCAATTTGCAAAAATATACCGGGACCGGTAAAAAATTAACGATAATAATTAAGAAATGGGCAAAGATATGTTTAAAAAAACATTTATTAGCTATGTTACAAACAAACTATATTTCTAATTTGTAATTAAACAGGCGAACTTGCCTCAGACTCCCGTGACTTGTAATCACCAGCATCCTTCCTGACGTTCTCCTCAAACTCTGCCGGATCAATCAATTTCTTCCTTCCATGAGGTGGCGGTCCAAGCAGCTTTTCTACATCCTCGTAATTTAATGTTTCTTTTTTAAACAGTGTTTCGGCAAGCTAAAACAGAATATATTAAATTATTATAGATTAAATGGGAGTTTTCTCACATTTCAATTTCAGTATGCAGTATTTATTGTATATACAAATATCCTGAAATAATGTACAAAAAAGAAAGGCGTTTTAATGTGTAATTTCCAGTAACAATTTTTTGTCGAGAGTTGTAGAGAATCTAATCAAGTTAGAAACAATATCTCTTCATTATACTAGTTACACAAGTTTTCTCCGGGGTATAAGGCAGTTTATAACTCGACAACACATATAAAATAAGAAAAAAAAGCATATTTTTACCTCTAATCTTATCGTTACGTTTCCTGTAAAATTTTACATGCTTGTTGAACATACAGAAAAACATGTACATCACTATAAACATAATCACACCCCGCAGAATGCTTTTCAGGAATTATTAACATAGAAATTCATCACAATCATTAAGAGGGCTCTATAGCAAATAGGCAACCAGCAATACATTTTTATAGATTTTATTACACAGTTTGTCTAAATATGAATTAATGTACCAATAACAGACTTTCCTCCATTTTAACGCAGATTTTCTATAAAACAGAGTTGGTTTGACACTCAAGTCACTTTTTGGTGTAAAGAAATTTGTAATTTGCGATGCTGCTTGCTCAAAAGTGACAAATTACAAATTTATTCACAATAAATAGTAATTTGAGTATCAAACAAACTTCATTTTATAGAAAATCTGTGTTAGAATGGGGGAAAGTCTGTTATTTGTGGATTAATTAATATTTAGACAAACTGTGTAATAAATTCTATAAAAAATGTATTGCTGGTTGCCTATTTGCTATAGAGCCCTCTTAAGTACTTTCGATGAAACTCTCAACAAAACAGGACAAGTACATTTTATGGGAATTTCTCGAGCGGTTCGAACTGGATGGTGAACAATTCCTTCACTGTATTGTGAAAAGCGACGAATCGTCGGTGGTTGACTACACCGCCTTCACCATCAGTGAAAAAATTATTGTTTCGGCCTGAAAAATCATGTGTTTTGGGATTTTCCTCATTGACTTTTTGCCCCAGGGAGAAACAAATAATGCTGTGGGGGTACTGTGAAACCTTGAAAACACTATGGAGGTCAGAACAAAAGAAAGTGAATGTTAAGGAAAGAAGTTTGCTCGTTATGTGCCAATGCACGTCCCCACAAAGCCAACGCCACAAAGCAACTCTTAGATTCATTCGGTTTGAACATCATCAATCATCCTGCTCACAGTCCTGTCTTGACACCTACTGACTTTCATCTTTTTTCTTCTCTGAAGGTGTTTATGGCTGGAAAAAGGTTTTCTACCCACAATGAGGTCCGCAGTGCTGTGAAACAATAAGCCCGAGAGGTGTCGGAAGATTTTTTTGACAAAGGTATCAGAAAGCTTATCCTTCGGCTTACAAAGTGCATTCAGGTTGAAGGCGACTGCATCGAAAAATAGTGTTAGATGTAACTTTCTGAATATTATGTAAATTTTTCATAAATATACTGCCGTTTCGATTTTAAAAAAATTGAGTACTCTTACTCTGTGGATATGCCTAGTATAGAAAAATATTTTAAAAAGATTTTAAATAAAAAAATATAAATAAATAAAAATAAATAAAATAATAATAACAATCAGTTTGGATTATAACTCGAATATGAGATTCGAATAAAAAATATTCACAAATAAAAAAGTTTTTCAAAATTACAAAAATGCCTAAAAATAAAAAGCTCTTTTATTTTGCGAACAAGTCAACATTTAGTTTCCACTGGTTAACTAACCTACGGGACATTTTAACTACTTTTTACCTACCTCCTTGCAAGATACGAGAAATCCCCTTGAAAGTGCCAAAATTCATCCACTTTGCACTTTAATGCACCTATAAAACCTACTCTTAACTTTTAGAAAAATTAAATACTATTTACCTGTATAAGCTTCGATTTGTGTTTGAGTAGAACTCCTTCGGTGTGCTTGTAAGCTGACGCCACAAGGCTCCTGACTTCCGCGTCGATGACGTTTGCCAATTTTTTACTATAAGGCCTCTTCCCCAACTCTTTAGTTTCCTCTTCTGGGAAACTTATTAAACCGACCGTGTTACTCATTCCGTATTCTTTCACTTGGGCGTACGCCATTTTTGTGACCTTCTCTAAATCGTTTTGGGCACCGGTGGTCACTCTGTTAAATATCAAAGATTCGGCCACTCTGCCACCTAAGGTCATACACATTCTGTCAAATAACTGAAAAAAAAAGGAGAAATGTGGTTTTTATAGATATCTTTGATATTATGTGGAATACATTACTTCTTCTTTAGTGTACAACTTCTGATCTCTTGGTATGTATTGGGCAAAACCTAGGGCAAGACTTGTCCTCGGGACTATTGTTACTTTTAAAAGAGCGTCTGTGTGTTCTAACATCCATCCAACCAGAGCATGTCCCGATTCGTGATAAGCTACAACTTCCTTTTCTTGTAAGGACATTGCGTGATTCCGTTTTTCAGTACCTCCTAAGCAACGAAAATACACAAACATTATTCAAAGGTAAAAGCTCAAATGAATGAACTAAATAGCATCTAAAAATGCTTGACAGTTCAATGACCTTCGATCATGAATTCATCTTTAGATCGAGGCATGCATGTTGGTTTTATTTTTTTGGAAAATTTGGAAATGCTTACAAATAATCAGTATATTATGGTAAATACAGGGTGTTTAGTTTAATTTTAACAGACCATAGAATACATTTAAATAAACAAAAAAACCTTATATTACATGGGTCCTAAACAACCATTTCAGAGAAAAGAAATATCAAAATTTGATGTACAAAAGTACGATTAATCAAGGAATATTGACATAACTGTGTGCATAGAATATAAAATACAATTTTTATCACTTTTTTGAACTTCTTTATGCTAAATTCTAAAAAATAATAATTAGCGTTGTAATAAATTTAAAATTCGATAAAATTCATATCGAGCAAACTGACAACGGCGCGACGGATAACACGAGGTACTAAGCTGTCCAATCAGTTGGTATCTGGAACTGGACAGTGTCTGACTGTTTTTTGCATACCACTATTTTCTTTTCTTGAGGCGTTTTCCAGTGAGTGTGCGAATATTGGATTTGAAGGTGTCGTGCGTGCATCGAAAATGGTGATGGAAATTTTGGGCATATGTTGTAGCTTGTTTTGTACTTGCGCGTTTAAAAATTACTGAATTTTGCTTTTTGGTAAGTACCTAAATTAATTTTAATACATGGACAATGTGAATCTTTGGGTACTTTAATTACATATTTTTCAAATTCATAATTTGATTTAAAGTTATGTTCCTGTTTTAAGAGTTTCATAATTACTAAAATTCAAACTAAAATTTAATCACATTCTTCATACTACAAAATCGATACATTTGTAACTTGCCCAGCCAGCTAGCCCAAGGGGAGGAAAAAGGGGAGCGGGTTCTCAGGTCTTTGAATAATTTCTCGAATATTTGGATTTAATAGCATTTATTCATCATCTAAATTTACAATTCGGTCACCTGTCAACTACTAACTCTACTACCCTCTAAGAAAAATCTTGGGATTCTTCGCCGTTCATGGCTACTCAATTCACCACCGTACAAAGGGGAGCACACTCACCCCGAAGTTCCCCGGTTTTCACCAACACTTTTTCTTCTTCTGTTTTTTTACTTGTTTTCCGTAACCAAAAGCCAGATGACACCCCGTCTGTCTCCACACACTGACATCTCGCTACCTCCTTCGATCAAAACTTAAAACTAGGAGTACAATTGGTTACCTAACTAAACGGAGTAGGAGCAAGGTGCCTGTTACACATTTTATTTTATTTATTTAAAAACTTGTTTACATTTCTTCCGTAGGACAAGTCTACCACGTGCATACGTGGTATGCATCAGCCGTGTAGCATTAGTTTAAGCGCTATTGTCACGTTGTGATGAAACTCCCCAATATTAATCCTCGCTGTATTTTGACAACTGTTAATCTTACGCCCCTGTAATATACAACTTTTTTTTTGTTCATTTATGATTACTCTATCTCATGCAGAAGTAATGGCAGTCAAACTTCTTACACCCTGTATATGAATGGAGACTTTTTGTTTTTAATGCCCACTCAAACCAATGTGGGACTGCTGGAACGGAATTAATATTAATCTGGTTCGGAAGCTACCTTTCACCTTTAGAAACACATATAAATTGGTTTTTTAAAAATTGTGCGTGGAAGATTTAATTATTTTGAATCTTTCTTTTGCAATTTTCATACTCTACCACTGGACAGGTTAGTGTAATCTCAAATAACCACATGTACTAGCTCACACCAAAGTAGGAGCTGTGACACTTTAAAATTATTACAAAATTAAACTTAGTTAAAACTCAAAATTGCACTAAACAAATTCTTTTTTGAATCCAGTAAAAACTAATACTTCATACAGAAAGTTGTGAAATTATGTATTGTTTTAGAAATATACTATATACTAGGTCAATATCAGGGGTCATTAACACCGAGATTCATAAACTAAACACAGTGCTTTTAAAAAATAGTAACAAATACTTTTTATTAAAAACTTGAAATACTTAATTTAAAGAAAGGGCCAAATATCTTTTTACATTAAAACAATAAAATTAAATAAATTAATTAACTGAAACTTTTCCTTCATAAAAATCAATTTATTTACATGATGTGCAAAACATGAAATAAATGATACAACTAACACACTTCCTAACATAATGGAAAATGCACCTTCTCTTAGGTCGTCCAATGCTCAAGCATTTTAAGACGGATAGGAAAATTTGTTGGTCTAATATTTTGTTTACGAAGAACAAATTTTCCGTCAAGTCAGAAAAGGACTTACGACTCTAATAGCCAAAAAATGTGTACCGAATCTGGTACTGACAATTGGTTCAGAAGATATTTAAACAAGAATATTATCAACAGGTCATCTTCAAACTTCAAGTTCATTTGAAATTTATATGACAATTCCAACCCATCAGAAGTTTGGCAGTTAAATTTAAAAGCATGTCATAATTGTATCGTCACCCAAAATATATTTAAGTATTATTTTCTAAAGGGATTTTGATAAAAAATATATCAAAATATTTTATACATATTTAAAAATTTAGAAGATATTATCTTACCTACAAGCCTCTCTACTGCATACTCTAAATCATCTTTAGAGACTTTGGTTTTCTTCAAACGCGCAGCGTGCAAGGCAGATTCGTTGCAAACATTTGCGATATCTGCTCCGCTAAATCCTGGCGTTAAGTAGGCTAATCGCTTGGAGTAAGTTTCAGGCGAATGCTCCAGAGCTATGATTTTCAGATGTTGCTCGAAAATTTCTTTTCTTTCTATTAAGTCCGGATAATCTATCAGAATGTGTCTGTCGAATCTGCCTGGACGTAATAACGCCTAAAAAAAATTGTAAATGCTTATCTGACACAGAGGGAACACAATTTATTAACAAAAAGTCAATTGGTTTGATTAGACAATAAAATGAAATAAAGTTGTAACTATTGTATGTAATGAGACAAAATAATAGTATTAGACAAATATACACAAGTAGTTTAAAAAAGGTGGAGATAAAAAAATACATAATATGTACAGTATAGACTCTTTAATCCGAATATCCACTAATCTGGTCCGACGACCCAACGCATGCCCATTTTGATGCTCCGAACAAAACTCTTTAATTCAAACAAAATTCGGTTTAACATATATAGTTTGGATTATAAAGTCAGAATATATAATAAAAGGCAACCGCCAATTCGTAATTCCCCATAAAATTTAAAAACATATATGGAGTCCCACAAGGAGGTATCTTGAGTCCACTTTTGCTTATTGTGTATATTAATAATGTTATGTTTTTAAACTTATTATTTTATTTGCTGATGACTGACTTTTGCTGATAAATTAAATAGTAAACTTGACATTCTTTAAAATGGCTTTGTAATAATTTAAACTAAATTCTACTGCATTATTTTTTTTTAATTATTTTTTTACACAAAATAGGGAATACAAAAATTGCAGTTGTTGCTAAATAAAACTATGAGAGTAACTCTTTGCAATAATATATATAAATATGTTAAGATTATTGCAATGATAGTGTTATATTAATCTTTAACATAAAAAGTAAAAAATCTGTACCAAAATATTTGGAAGATTATTTTTTGTTACAAGGGAGATTCATTCATTCATTATGTCAACAAATTAAAATAATTTTGTTAGAACAGTTCATAAATGGTTGTAATAAGATTCATCGCTTCATTGCTTTTGACTGCCTTAATTTTAACAGACGATAGAATACATTAAAATAGACAAAAAAATTTTATATGCCATTTCCAAGAAAAAAATTATCAAAATCTCTAACTTGATGTACAAAGGTTCAATAAATTAACGCAATTAACATAAGTGCGTGCATAGAATACCATAAAATACAATGTTTATCACTTTTTTCAACTTCTTTATACTTAATTCTAAAAAATAAATTACCGTTGTAATAAATTTAAAATTCGATAAAATTCATATCGAGCAATGTGACAACGGCGCGGCGGTTAACAGGAGGTATAGTTCTCCCGAAGTTAGTTGAACGTGAATAAAAAAACTGAGCAATCAAATTTAATGAGTTTCATGGGCGTCCCTAAAAAAGTTTTCTGCTAATGGTAGAAAATTATAATAATTTGTGTATAATGTGTAGAAAATTTTTATATGTTTGACCAACAACATACAGGGGTCGGCATAAGACAGGCAACGCTCTCGAAAAATCGGCATAAGTCCGGCAACGCTTGACATGCTTCACCGGACCTGCCTCTCCGTTGAGAAACGTTGCCGTACATGCATTGATCAAGATGGGCATCAATTTGAACCTTTTTCAAATCCCTTTTGTAATTTCTTTTAATAAATATAGTTTGGGGCTGCATTTTTTTCTCTTAATGCAAATTGGTTGCCTGACATGCCGACCCCGGTATTATATTTTAATTATTTATGTTCTCAAACAATTTTATTATATTGATGGTAAATTTCGTTTTGTTCCCTTTCAAAAGGTCTCCAAAATGCCATGTTGTAATAATATTAGTAAACCAAATATCCCTCTTATTTCTTTCTTTCGTAATCGTAATATAGTGATTAATAGAAGAGTGCCTATAATAAATTGAAATTATCTGAATCACACCAAATTCAGCATTCCCGCACTGCACTGCTAACCGACTTGAATTTTATGACGCAATGGACCAGAGCAACAGTGCGCATTGCTGTTTGCCCGCACGTTCATTCTTCAACTGAGCGTATAAATTTCTACCACATGCACGTTTCGTTCGACCAGATCTGTATACGGGTATGGCTAAATAAATGTGGGAACAAGTTTTTCAAATATTTCAATGCCGAGTTGCCGCTTAGCGACCGAGCCTAGTACATACCTTGAAATTATTGGTTCTTCAATTGACTTGAAAAACTATACTAAGCAGTCCAAGAACCAGCAATACACAATTCAGTTGGTATCTGGAATTAGACCATGACAGAGTGTTTTTTGCATACTACCATTTCCTTTTCTTGAGATGTTTCTCCTTGCTTTTTTAAAATGTTCACCATACGTAATAATTTTCCAGCGAGTGCACGAAAATTTAATTCCAAGGTGTCGTGCGTGCATCGAAAATGGTGGTGGACATTTTGAGAATATGTTGTAGTTTGTTTTGTACTTGTGCGTTTAAAAATTAATGAATTTTGCTTTTTGGTAAGTACCTAAATTGTTTTTAATACGTATGATTATTTGGATGCTGTGAAACTTTGGGTACTTTAATTACATATTATTCAAAAATTCATAATTTGATTAAAAGATAAGTTCCTTTTTTAAGAGATTCATAATTACTAAAATTCGAGCTAAAATTTAAGCACAATACAATCTTTGTACTACAACATAGATACATTTTATTTTATTTATTTAAAAATTGCAAAACAATTGTCTTGAAATTTACTAGATGTTTCACAATAATAGTTGTTTACATTTTTGTTATTCCGTAGGACAAGTCTGCAGCATGCACACGTGCTGTATTTTGAAAACTGTTAATGTTACGTCCCTGTAATATACAACTTTTTTGTTCATTTATGATTACTCTATCTCATGCTGAAGTAATGGCAGGCAAACGCCTTACACCCTGTATATGAACAACTTTATGATGTTGGGAAACTTTCGACAAACACAAAATTATACCTTGACAAATTATAATTATACTAATTTAGAATATCAGTTTTGGCACTTACCTTATCTAGAATATCTGCTCGGTTTGTCGACGCCAGCATAATGACATTTTCTTTACTGGCCATCCCGTCCATTTCGACTAAGAGCTGGTTCAGTGTCTGTTCGCTTTCTCCACTCGCTCCCTCAAAACCAAGCTGCCCACTCCGCTTACGACCTACTGCGTCAATTTCATCTATGTAGATGATGCAGGGTGCACGTTTTCTTGCTTCTTTAAATAAATCTCTAGAAAACATATGCAGCATGTCTGTTTAGTGGTTTCGTAATTTAAAATCTAATAACTTGCTTACAGGGCACCAATACAAAATGTGGCGCATAAAAATATGAATTTTTTTTCAATATTTTCAGTTAAAACCAAAATCAATGTCCAGGCAGGCCTAGGGTTTCTGATGGTGAGTCTGCCCCCACAGAACCTAGCCTGAGAACAATTAAGCCAGGTCAAAGATTCCTAGCTAAGGTTAAGGAAGTACAATATAGGTACTTGGCTATAGAGCATAACCCGAAAATTATTTTACTTTAAATATCAGCAAGCATTAAAATCACTAAGTTTTAGATCTATTTTATATGAAAATAGTTTTAGATTTAGTCTTTGTGCCTCAAAAACTAGCAAAGATAGAGATATGCTTCTAATATAGACAATTGGCTCACAATGTTTATAAATTCTTATAGACAATAATCTTGTACAGATTGTATAAGGTATATTTGTCCTAAAAACTAAAAAAATTAAAATTGGCAACATACCATTTAATGCCAAAATACATTTAAGGATGCCAAAAGAACTTATGGATAATTAATTGGAACTATAGTAGATCGTATTCGATGCAAAGTAGAGCAAAAAATTGTCGGTCAATCAGAGGAAAATCGTGTCATGATTTTTAAGAAGGGTAAGATGAACCATTTCAAATTTAATATGAAATTGAATGTAAAATCTGAAATACTGATTCTTACGCACTGTTTTCTGGTAGTAGCTGTAGCCGCCCAGGTGCATCGAGTGTACGAAGTGATCGGTTATACATCAAATACTAACCTGGCAAGCTTGGTCATAAATTAGAGACCGCCTCCAAATAACAAGTAAACACCAGTGGCACGTACAGAGGTGAAATGCAGTACATATGTGGAATTTAGAAAACAAATTGGATTTATAATAAATTATATTTAAAATAAACAGCTTATGAGAATAAAGGGATTTTTGTAGAAGCAGGGTGCCAGATGTGAACTGATCCTTTCATCCCTTCATAATGCATAAAGAAATTATTGAATTTTTAAACCCCTTAAAACAGTACTGCACTGGATCCCTTGACAGGCAATTTTATTACTTTGTATCGAATATGATCCTACTACAGTAAATTCATGGTATTCCATTTAAAAAATACACTTTTTAGTAACACCCTGTATATAGGCCACTTGCGGCTTTTTCAGACTCATTGACGTTTGCAGCTTGCACAATAAGATCATTCTTCTGACCAAGGGTAGTATATTATTATGTTTCAGAGATTTCAAAAACAATTTGAAAATTTTCTAATATTTCCAAATTTTTCAGGCAGAATTGAAAAATTAAGGTTGCAAAAATGTCAGTTTCTATTTTTCAATGATCACCATTTCTTAATTTTTTTATTATTAAATGGAAAACATTTTTATAAATTAAGAAAAAAAATTCTTCTGATAATTTTTTACATGTCTGAATACCAAATAAGGGCAACTTATGCTGCTTATTGCGAAATTTTTGGTTTTAGGAGTGAACTACGTTATTTTAATTGAAAAATTCCATGAAACTTAGAGAAATTCCCTCTTATTTCCCTGCCATTCCAAATCTATAAAATTCCCTGATAATTTCAGGTTATTCAAATTAGTATACAGCTTGTTACGTTTATCTGAAAAATGCCTCTTTAAAGTTTGTACATTTTCTTGCTGAACATCCTGTATTATATAGTAACAAGTTTTTCTAATAGATGTCATAAAAAATTTTTCATAAAAGAATGCAGAATTTGCACACATAAGGTGTCTAATAGTGCGGAAGGAATATTTTCATTCCTTCGAAATAAATTTTAATTTTTTACCTCACTCTCGCAGCTCCCAATCCGCCTATCATTTCTATGAATTCTGACCCGTTCATGGACAAAAACGGAACATTAGCCTCGGTAGCAACAGCTTTGGCCAGCAAAGTTTTCCCACAACCTGGTGGTCCAAGCAAAAGGGCCCCTTTGGGAACTTTGGCACCTAAATTCTTATAATGCTCCGGCCTCTTCAAGTAATCGACAAATTCCATTACTTCTTGCTTGGCCTCTCGTAAACCAGCTACGTCGGAAAAATGCACACCCTTACCCGGCCCAGTTAGTGGATCGACTAGTGTGAACTTTGCTCTTCCTAATTGGGTCTAGAAAGTACGACTGTTTCATAAAACATAAAATATTTTTTTATATGGAAGTACTTACAAATGTGTCCATACTTATAGGAGGCCTAATACTTTTGCTTCGTGCCAACATCGATATAAGTATGGCAACTACCAATAAGGAGATGAGCAGTTTTCCTGCTGTATCAGTGCTACGTTCGTATATGACCGGAACACCATCTTGTATTCCCAATCTCCTTTCAGCCTCTCTTAATTTATCTTCAAATTTGTTAACATCCACTACATTCATATGAAAAGTTCTGTTATCTATCTAAAAATTAATATGGAAATATTTTTATTTAACGGGACAATATTGTCTATTAAGTTATTACAAAATTTTTGTTAATCAAGTAGGTACATTTTCCAGAAATTTAAAAACGGTACTGAGAAATGGGGAGATGTAAATCTTTCTTTTAACGAACATTATGTAGATTTCTTACGCTTAAAATGATGAAAATGAAGTCCGGGATATCTCAAGGCAATTAAATATAAGATGATAATTACGAGGATAATTACCAAAACTGTATAAACCGGTTATAAAAACTTACCCTTTTCCCTTTAATAACAGCCCCATCGTAAAGGACAAGAGTGACAATTTCAATATCCGGTCTAACAATAATTTCTTCTACCTCACCTTTAGCTAACATTTGATATAAAAACTCATTCCAGGCTACATAACGAACAACCTATAAGGAATATAATGGTTGTACTACAGCATTATACTTAAGATTATCAGTCGTTACCTCTGGTTGATTGCTGCTCGGGAACATTAGCGATATTACCGCAATCACCATATAAGCTGTTAACATCCATAGAAAAGCCTTAGCTAAGAGTGCCGATATTTTATCTTTGTCTTCATCATCCTTATCCGGTTTCTGCCCTCCAGGGCCATTTTGCTTAGGAGGGTTTTGAAAATGACTAGGGGTGGTATGGATATTTCGCTTATTTAAATAATTTTGCAGTTGTGTAATACTTTGTAAACCAGAGCGATATAATAGGGCATGAACTGCAGCGTATTCTTGATTTACTGACTTACTTAGCTAAATAAAAGCTCAGTTAAAACATTAGTTGTGAGTTTCATAAAATATTTGCTTACTTTGGTAGATCCTAATTTTGAGAAAGGATGTGGTTGAAATGTTGAAAATAATTTATTTTGGATACCTACATTAGGAAAGAAATGTTTATGTTGCTTTACCGTATCGCCAATTACTGAACGTAAAGGGAAATGCAAAGATTTCAAATGCCTATACATTTTTATATTTTTTGGTTTTCATTTTGAGTGATAAATTTCTAGGTTATGCTGTCATCATGTTTCTAAAAATTACTTTTACGTCGCCATCTGTGTTTTTTACACAAACTCTTATGGGTAGTCGTACAGTAAGAATACTTTTATCTGCAGTCTACCTTGATTCGTTCATTGAAGATTGAAGTATTCTCTCTCAATCTGCAGTCAACAGTCTATTTCAATTTTTTGGCGACATCTAGGGAGTAAAGACTAAAACGTCACGGTAATTCTTGGTTATGTTAGACATTGGTATAGCAAACAGATGGCGCGATGTGAATAAAATAAAATTAAATTTCTATAGACCATTTTTATACCGAGTGGTCTACACAACAATGAAAACTTCCAAGTATAATAATTTCTCACGAAAGTATACATATTTTTGATAAATTCTATTACCATCATAGGTGGGGTACGGATCTTTTAAGAGATTTTAAATGGCATTTTTCTGCGTAGTTTTAAAAAATTGTGGCCATTTTGTGTCAAACCGAAAGGATAGAAAAATAATTTGCTTGTGATGGTAATTGTATTTGGTGCTTATTTTACTCATGTTTAATATGATACCACTAATGCAAAACGAGCTATAGGACTGACCCCTGTTGGGTTTAGGTCACAATATATCTGTCTTACATAATCTAGTTAATAGTTATTTGATTTATAATATAAGTAATAACATAACGTTAAAAGTTTCTATCTTTCTTCCTAAATACCGAATGCAATCATTCTGAATGAATGAAGATATATATTTTTTTAATTAAAAAAAGATCGCAGATACGACATGATAGAGCTTGGTTTGGACACCTTGTATAGACATTTTGTGATATTAATAATAGATCTACAACTCTTTTAAATAAAATAGTTACACCTGTGTCAATAAAAAGAGTGACCTTTTATTTTGGTGAAGTTTAACTAATTTTATTTCAAACAAAACAAATCTCCTTTATTTTATTCGGAAAACGAGCCACGGATTTATTAATAAATAACATTTTAATCTAAAGTTGGCTACTCTACAGTTAAATAAATCGACAGTAACTCTAACACGTTTTACAGAAGAAATCTATTAGATTTTTTTGTTTTCGAAAACAATATTTTGAATCCATTATCACGGGGTCAAATGTTGAAAATAATATAACAACTCCCTATTGAAGGGTATTATTATACCAGGCCTATAAAAAATCTACTACTGAAATAAATATTATACCAATTGCTAATACCTCATTTGTCATTTGGAACAAAATGATTTATTTGTAGAAAGTACACCGTTATTGTTTTTTATAGTTAGTTTCTGATCGTTGACATTAACTAATAAATTAATATCAAAACTTCTCTATTCATTTTTTATACATAGATTCATATTGCAGCGTTTACAAGAATGTTTAATTTAGTTATTCTGAAATGCAGTAATGTCACATTTTACGTCTGCTTATAGGTTACCTACCTTACTATTTATTATTCGATTTTAGTACAAACACAAAAAGAAACTACAGTTGTATCAAACTTTTAGTTTAATGCCAATTTTGAACAAAGCAACTAACATGAAATTGTTTATTTAACATGTCACTTACATAATTATTTCATCGCTTTCGTTTAAACAGAGTATCCAGGAAATTATGGGTATTCTCTCAAATTTGTGTAGGCCTTATAGCTTTTGAGGTTGAATGTTGCAAAAATTTTTTTCGTTCAACGTTTTATTTATTAAAGTTCTGCCTCCGAGCATCCAAAGTAGTAAGTAAATTGAATACATTAGTAGAAATAGCTTTTATCCAAAAATTAGCCAAATTTAACTAAAAGCAAAAAACGTATAGCGAAAATTCGAATTTCAACTTTCTACTCCAAGAAATAATAACTTTGCAGCGTGAGCTGAATAAAAAATATGTGTATAAACCAGATAAATCCTAGAAATTGGCCGCCATTTCCTGAATACCATGAATATAGAATTGTTACATTAAATTAAGTTAAAAGGAATGAAATAGGAAATTAATTGTACACTTTTGGAGGCTCACTCTTAATTCACTACAAGAGAAATAGACCAGGGCGAATCTGTTGAAATATTCCACTTCTTGGATGTAAGAGGGGGCAAGCCAATTTTTTCTGGAATACCTTCAGTACAACTCACACAATAAAAGTGTAGATCCCTAGATTTGGGCGAAGTCCGGAACATTTTCAAAATTGCAAAAATGTTTAAAATATTTTAAAAAATATCTATTTTATTTGGGTTTTTTACTTATATCTTGGAACCTTTGCATTTGGAAGAATATTGAAGAGGAAAAAAAGTTTTAGAATTGAATTTTGCACAACATACTGTAAGTTAAAAATGTTTAAATTTATTATCGATGTTGCAAAATAATTGCATGTTGCAATAATTGATGAAAAAAGGCAAAATAATTAAGTTTTTTGGATAATTTTTTTTTAAATATTTTAATTGCTTCCAGGGTATTCTAATTTTGGTAAAAAAACTTTAGAGTATAATAAAACAACTAAATTGCAAATTGATAAATGTAATTTAATTGTTTAAAAATAAAAAAAAAATGTTAACTTTAAAATTTACTGTGGCCGTCCTAATCAACCGATTTCAATTTTTTAAAAACCATTTGAAAGGTTGCGCGGTCTTTTCTTTGTGAAACAAATTTCAAGTATCAATATGCTTTATTTGAGGCGGTGCAACATTTTGAAAATACGAAATTTTTTTAAAATTTAAAAGAAAAATTTTTTTGCGAAAACTATCTAACCAATTTTAATGAAAGTTGGTGTCTTGTATATTCTTAAGTTTTTTTTACCAAAATTAAAATGCCCTCGGAGCATTTAAAATATTAAAAATAAATATCCAAAAAACTTGATTATTTTGTTGGCTTTTTTTATCAATTATTGCTATTTTGCAACAACGGTAATAAATTTAAACATTTTTAACTTCCAGCATATTGTGCAAAATTCAATTCTAAAATTTTGTTTCCTCTTCAATATTCTTCCAAAATGCATAGGTTCCAAGATATAAGAAGAAAACTCAAATAAAATACCAACTTTTTAAATTTTTTTAAACATTTTTTCAATTTTGAAAATGTTCCGCATGTCGCCCAGATCTAGGGATCTACACTTTTATTATTTGAGTTATACTGAAGGTAATCCAGAAAAAATTTGCTTGCCCCCTCTCACATCGAACTCAAAACAAATACGCCCTGATCTAAAATAGTTAATATGTGTTGAGCTTGACTGGCGAGGGAAATTGAACGGCGAAAGCCACATCCTGGTTTATTTAAGGCATAAAAACTCTTTTCATTTTGGCCGATCAAATAACTATTTTATTTGTGAATTTTTGTTTCTAAAAAGATTTAATAATAATCAGTTTTTTTGTGGAGAATTATTCCATAACTTTTACTTTTTCATTTAAAATTTGTGTTTAGATATAAAATTTTATAATCAATGATATGTCAAATACGATATTTACCCAAAACATATTTATAGTCACATGAAATTATTATTTTTTTAATTCAACTGTTATATGATTCAGTATGCAAAAGAAAATATTTTTAGTGTCTGTAAAAACATATTCTGTAAATGTTACGTATGACTGTATGGCAATGGAAAGTTATAGAAAAATGTAGGGTATGCCAGTGGATTTTATAAAAATAAAGATACATAAAAATCCCTTTACAGATTCCACAAATGTTAACAAATAAACAAGTTTTTCAAAAACGGCCAAAATAAAAAACACGCTGTATAAACAAATCAGATTAACCCAGGCATATGAGGAAAACGCCGTGACTGTTGAGTAGACAAACATCTGTAAAGTTTTTGATAAAATTTAGGTTAATTTTAGTGCAAAACCCACACACCATCAGGTGAGGTTTTTTAATAATTAAAAATAAAAGGTCTAAAATAACCCAAAATATCAACTTTTTGCCTACCAGATAAAAACGATAATGTTTATTATATAATGTGAAAGTAACCAACTTGTAGGGAATAAAAAAAACTTTAAAATGGCGGCTTTTAAAATCCGATACGATAATTTGTTGCTCGGGAAATTGCAAAAAACTGTCAAAATTCGATTATTACTAAATAAACAATAAGTTTTGCAAAAGTCAACCTACGACTTTGATATTGCAATAGTTGGCTTTTATAGTCCTTAATATGTGATTAAAATTTCAGACAGATTCATCCAATAGTTTTTGCAAAATTCTAAATGTTTATCCCAAAGGCATTATTTTTGCAAAAACTTGACACGCAAAATTGCCATGATATTTGAATTCTGCGGGTGTCATATGAAAGAGAAAGACTTCTTTTATTGGAAGAAATTATTTTATTGCAAAAAAAATTGTTTTTTACCACTGCAAAAACGTACCACAAAAACACTGTCATTTTTGTCTTATAAACAATTAGAATAAATTTGTTGCTATTACATCTATAGAGATTATTTTTCCATATTCGTAAAGCTGGTATTTTTACAGAAATTAAAAAAAAAAGTTGCTCTAACTTAATTTGGGGCAAAGTTAGACACTTTTTTTTTAAGTCTTAGTTACTTTGTTTATAACAATTAAGACTTCTAATAAGTGCCATTTCGAAGATAAAGAGCTACAGTTTCTATAATCGAATAATCGAATTTTGACACATTTTTGCAATTTCCCGAGCAACAAATTATCGTATCGGCTTTCACATTATAATAAAAATTATCGTTTTTTTCTGGTAGGCAAAAAGGTGATATTTTGGGTTATTTTAAACCTTTTATTGTTAATCATTAAAAAGACCTTACCTGATGGTGTGTGGGTTTTACACATATTATACTAAAATTCACCCAAATTTTATGAAAAACTTTACAGATCCTAGGCTACTCAACAGTCACCAATAGGTCATTTATTTTCCTCATATCCCTGGACTATATATTGAGATGTGATTCTCGCCGTTCAATTTTTCTCAAAAATCAATTCTGATATATCTAAACTACTTATTCTCCTCGAGGATTTCCTTCCCCGTTCTTCCTTTCCAAAAAGGTTCCGAAATTGTCCAACTCTGTAGCTCAGCCGCTTTGT